TTTTTTTAAAATGAAAAACTAAAAAATATTTAAAATAATTAAGAAACAAAGATTATACAACACTCTAAAATTAAAGGATTTGAGATTTAACCAAATACTTTTTGAATGATGGAAACTTGAAAAAAAAAAAAAAAAAAAAAAAAAAAAAAGAGAAAGAAAAGAGAAATTTAAGTTAGGTTTAAAAGTATAATTTTAAGGGCTGTTTGGTTGCCATATTCTCGAGGAACGGCTGAAAATGGCGAACCCAAAGTGGTTACAGGCCTTAGCCATTTAATGGTTCATCCCAAGTCCTAGAACTTGGGATTTAAAATCCCCTTGTTGAAGAAGGTGGTGACTTTAGTCAAAGCAAAGTTTAGCTGACTACACATAAGCATGTTTGTTAAAAAGTTCCACCCAAAAACCATTTCTACGTACCTTACCATCATTGTCGAGACACAGCCCCTCGCCAAGAACACGTTACTGGATATTGAGGAAAAGTCGAAAAGCTTTAAAGTGTGTTTAGTTCGAAGGAAATATAGAGAAAAAGATGGAAGAAAAGGAAAAGTAGTCTTATTTTTACTAATTAAATTAAATTATTGAGTCAATAAAATAATTTAATTAATTATATTAAATTTTCTTTTATCTTATTTCCTCAAATCAAATAAATTATTAAAATTATAAACTCAAATGACTGTAGTTCTTATTGATGAATTTAAAATGTTTAAACATAAATTTGTTTTTTATTTTCAAGATGTTTCAACTAGTTTATACATAACTCAATATTAATCTATTTCACATAATTTTTTTTTTTAGCATTTGGCAATTTACTGGTCACCCCTTACGAGATTTGTTTAGAACTACCAAGACTTGAATTCTATTATCAGATTCTCTTTTTCCTTTTACCCGAAAAAGTTTTTCATTGTTCAAAAAATAAATAAATTTTTTTTAAACATGAGCAATTAAGGAAAACGGGTAGGATTTAAATTTTATATCTTAAACTAAGACGTCTTTTAACCATATTTAAATGATCTCTTGGGTTACTTGGGCTTCTCCATTTTCAAATAATTTTAAAGGCATTTGAAGATAAGTAGTTGATAAGGAGATGGGTGACATCAACATTGAAAAATTTTTTAAGTTATAATAAGGACAATATTCGATTTTTGCTTTTGTTATTCTATTTTCATCTTTTTCATTGGATTTTTTTTAGAAAAAGGTAACGCATCTTTTTCATTGGATAGAAAGGTTACTCGTTGTGAATCTTACAACCCATGCCCTAGCCCCAGTACTTGAAATCACATCACCATCTTTGATATCTCTCAATCCAACGAGTACATATACGGCGCGCGGTCATGTGTTATGGGCCTTACAATAAAAAGCAAGCATTTTATAACCATTTTAATTTTAAAATGTGGGTAAGTTAATTGGAAAATACTTAAATATAATATGATATAATTATAATAATACGTAAAATTATAAATTTATAATTATAATATATTATTAAATAAATATATATAATATTATAAATAAATTTTTAAATAAAAAAATTAATAATATAATATTATATCATATTGTATGATTATAATATCTTACATGATAATATAATTATAACATTTTCAAACACAATATAAGTTAATTTGAAAATACCCAAACATAATAATAATAAAAAAAATCATTAGCATGAGAAACTGCAAAAATAGTTATCTTATGGATGACTCTGTTTTTCCTATCTTCTGGGAAGACGTTTTTCCTTCCTAAATTTTTAATAATAAGGTAATTGTTGAGATGGTGATGAGGTTCGCACTTAGCATGGCCAAGTGGGAATCCAGGTCATGGTGCCATTGATCGCTAGTCTGGTCTACCATCATGTCCAAACTTCAAAGGTGATTGCTGTAATCACTATGCCATTGACAAATTGACTAGAGAAACTTTTTTCTTAGTGAGGCATAACATATTGGATAAGCTTTGTCCATTGGTGTCAACAAGCCCACTCTTCTAATTATGTTGGATTGACATGTAAGAGTGGGGTTGTTAAGTTAGTTGCAAAGAAAGTGGAAGATATAATTAAAGGTGCAAATAAGGGCATTCGCTTTTGAGGTAAAGTTTAATAAAATATAACATTTTTTACTGGGTATAAATTAATTTTTCATATTAATAATTATGTTTTATTTAAAGTTTACGATGGAAGACAATTCTTTCACATCTTTTAACTTATCATATAACATGTTATGCGATTTAAATTTATAATTTTTTATTTTTATTAGAAATGGATTATTAACGAATTATTTAGATTGTTAATAGTGTATAAACTGTTCCCTTAAAGAAAATAAAGACATATTGCTACATTATGTGAAAAAATGCATGTGTAAAACATGTGACTGACGTTGTGAGGTCATTATTTGACTAATAGAATACAACCGATTGAGAGCAAGAGAAGGGAGTCAAGTTACACTAGTTAAACAAGGGCTTAACAATGTTGTGCTTTTCCATCTAATATGTTTTTGTTTGTCCTAATCAACAAGTTTATTTTATATCTTTAATTGCACTCAAAAAAAGATTAGTCCTTGATTGTTCTTTACCCCAAAATTGGTGTCCTTATTTGAACCTTTCACCACATATATATGGGGGACTCGTGAACTAGATTCTATCATTCTAGTTTCTCAAAAAAAAAAAAAGAGTTTATCATTCTATTTTTTTTTTCATTTGAAATGTCATCAATCTGGGCCAAATTTGCAACCTCCAGTGGGCTCGTTCTCTAAAATTGATACTGATGTTGATCTTGGGCTCTTGGGCCTGGTGAGTCTGGATACTCTCGTGGGTTGAATATTCCTATGGTTAGAGAATTGCATACTCTCGTGACGTGAACTTACACCGTAAAATTTACATTTCAGGGTGAAACTTTTTGAGTTTCTTGTTTTGCGGCAAATGTCTCCACACTACATAGATAAAAGATAATTTTTAATATTAAGAATTTTATTTTTATTTAATAATTTAAATTATATAATTTAATATAGTATAGATCATAATTTTTTTGAATTTTTTTAA